AGATACGAGCCGTCTCTCGGCCGATTTTTTGCTTTGAGTTGCGAGCTAAAATTCGGGTTACGAGCCAGCTTCAGATACCCCACCGCTAGTTGGCGCAGCGAACGTCACAGTGAACGCCACAACATCAGCCCAGCATCACGTGTCTCACTCGTTCACTTTAATGGTTTGACATACGAGAAATTTGAGTTACGAGCTCCATCACGGAATGAATTAAACTCGTAAGTCAAGGCCCCACTGTATCTTAAAGCAACTTGGGTGAGGAATACATACGTTGACATCTATAAACACAACTGGTGCAAAGCACTAATGCTTGCTACTCTTACTGTTATGATTATTATTATAATTTTCTGGAGAGGTGGTCAGAGGAGCTGATCCCCTGGACAGAGCTTTGGAGGCAATAACAGGAGGCTGCTCAGGCTCAGTCAATAGTGTTACCTTCATAGGACTGTGAGGCACAGGCTTGCTGAGGGCGGGACCGTGCGATTGTTATTTGATTTATTAGCCATTTGGTTTTGTATGGGTGTGCGGCAGAAGCAGAGCACGGGGCCCCACGCTCAGACACAGCTGGGTTCAGAACCCACAAGCTGGTGGCCTTGAACAAGTCACATCATGCCTCGAGCCTCAGTTTCCTCATCTGTAAAATGGGATGATGATAATAGGAACCTCTGTGGGGGAGGGGGACTGATGTGAAGATTAAATAAAAACATGCTTGGAAAGCACTTCGCTTGGGGTCCGGCACCTTCTAGGCACTTGCTCTGGAGATGCTAGTAAATAACCAAGAGCTGTCACTGTGTGGGGGGTCTCTCATGTGTGTGCACAGGGTTGCTAACACTTCTTACTCAGCCAAGATACACTGAGCTCCGCAAGGCACCAGGCACCCTTCCAGGCCTGGGGGCTGGAGCTGCTGCGAACAGGACACCCAGTAATTCTGCCCTCGGGAGCCAAGGTCTTCTGTGGGGCCCAGGGAAGGAGAGAAGACAGGAGCCTGTGGGCCCTGATGGCCGAGACCTGCTGGCTCTGGGGACTCGTCTTCCTGGGCCTAGAGCCCAGTGGGGGCGGGGTTGTCCCCACACCCGGAAGAGAGTTCCAAACCCTTGGAATTGCAGCTAAAACATGAGGCAGAAACGTCCTGCAGAAACCCTTGCCTTTCAGGGAGTCACAGAGGCCTTCCAGCCCCTCCCACCATGGCTGCCCCAAAGGTGCAGGCCGAGGAGCTGGGGAGGGAGGGAGGGCATGGGGTTTCTTTCTGCGTGAAAAGCAAAGGCACAGAGTCAGGTGAGGACAAGCCTGGGTCTGTCTGTCTGCCTGGCACCACCTGTGCGGCCGCGGGCTTCTCCCCGAGCTCCTGCAGCCGCAGGCTTCTCCCCGGGCCCCTACGACTGCGGGCGTCTCCCTGGGCCCCTGCAGGCTTCTCCCCGGGCCCCTACGACTGCGGGCATCTCCTCGGGCCCCTGCAGGCTTCTCCCCCGGCCCCTGCAGGCTTCTCCCCGGGCCCATGTCCAGGATGCTGGTGATGCCACCCTCGCCCTGGCTGGTCTGTTTGAGGGTTCACTGTGGTCCTTCCGTGTTGTGGATGAAAGGGGCCACATGCTGACCTGACAAGCTCAGGGAGGCCTGCATGGCAGTCTTGCAAACTCAGAGACCTAAAGTCACCACAAAGGATGGTCTGACATTAAACTTTAACTAAAAGCAGTTATGGTGGGCAGTTACTACGTCCTAGGCCAGTATCTTTACTGACAAGGTCAACCTTTACCTTAACTGAGCCTATCTGTCTTTTTGCATCTATGATAACATACCCTTGAAATGTCTGGGTAACTTGTAATTTCCCTTCTTCTGGGGCACAACAAAATGTGCTGGGTGCCAGGACAGATACCACAAATTCCTTCATTATCATGTTAATTAATCCTGCACCCACCTAAGTACGTGTCCATCATTTTACTTTTTTAAAAAAATATATTTTATTGATTTTTTACAGAGAGGAAGGGAAGGGATAGAGAGTTAGAAACATCGATGAGAGAGAAACATTGATCAGCTGCCTCCTGCACACTCCTCACCGGGGATGTGCCCGCAACCAAGGTACATGCCCCTGACCGGAATCGAACCTGGGACCCTTGAGTCTGCAGGCCGACACTCTATCCACTGAGCCAAACCAGTCAGGGGCCATCATTTTACGTTTTATCCAATCCCAGGGGTTTCCCTGCTTTGCTTTATCCCTCCTCCTTAATCTGTCACCAATGAATTTCATGTAACCCACCTACATCCCTCCTTTGATTGCAAATGTATAAATACAGATGTAACCCCGCCGTTCTCCGGAGCACTATCTCAATTCGTTGAGGTTCTGCTTCCCGGCAATTGTCGACAGTTTGGCTCAAATAAACTCACAAAAATTCTTTACAGGTTTCAATGGTTTTTTTATGTTAACAGTGTGGAAGCTCCAAGAAGATGGCAGCCTAAAGCACCCCGTCCCTGGGCCTGGGGCCTAGCACCCCCACACCCTCCAAGGGCCTCCTCCCAGGAGAACCAGCCTGGACGCTCCCTCCTCCCTGGCCCCCCCGGGCCTGGCCCTGTGTTCTCACCCAGGCAGCTTGCTGTCATTCTCCTCGGGGCCAGCTGACTCCTCCCGAGGTGGCTGGGTCAGCAGGACAAGCAGCTGCCTCCCTGCTTAGCTCCCCAAGCAGAAGGCTGGCCTGACCCCCAAATGCAGCAAGTGTCCAGTGGGGGGTGGGACAGCAGGCCCGTGGGAGGGTAGCAGAGTCCATTCTGGCTGCTTCCGTGGCTCCCAAGTCCCACTGGCTCAGGCTCCAACCCTCAGCCCGCTCTGTGGCCCAGGGTAGGTGGCTTTACCTCTCTGAGCCATGAGAATTCAATGCAGTCACAAGTAAAAGAGCTGAACCCAGGGCCTGGTCCACAGTCCATGCTCAGTAAGTGGAAGTGGTGACCATGATTATAAGAGGCGCAGAGAAGAGGGCTCAGGAGCAACACTGCCCAGGTTCGAATCCCAGCTCTGCCACTTAACAGAGACTGTATATATGGGCAAGTCACGTCATCTCGCTGTACCTCCGTTTCCCCATCTGTAAAATAGGGTAATGACAGTCCCTTCCTTGTAGGGCCATAGGAAGATTAGATGAATATACGTAAATTGAAAGTGCTTAGAATAGAACCTGCCACATGGAAAGTGCCAGATAAATGCCAATGATGCCTACATCTGCTTGCTGGCTGCACGCCCTCTCCTCCCGCCCCAGGGCCTCGATGATGCAGGCACTCTCCAATGAGAAGGTGGATGAGGCCCCGAGGCTGTCCCCACCTCCTCCCAGGCTCTGTGGGCCGCCGTGGGAGGGCAGCCTGCAGAGGAAGGAGAGGAGGGGCTTCGAAATAAGTCCACCTGCAGACTCGCCCACAGACACACACAGCCCGACAGACACACCACCCACTCAAACCCACAGCAAACCACGGGACCCAGCCGCTCCCCCCTCCCTACCCACCCGGAGCCCTCACCCGGCCCCGGCCCAGGCCCAGGCCCCAGGCCAGGCAGCACCCTCTGGGCCATGCAGTCACCCTCCATCCTGGCTCCACACCAGCCGCCTGGCCCTGCAGTAATTACAGAGAGCGCCCAGCCTCAGGCCCGGCTGTGACGTAGCCCGAAGCTTCCAGCTGGATGATCTCACCCCGCACAAGCGGGATCCGGCGCTGGGATGTGGTGCAGGGGCCAGGCCGGGGGCTCAGCCTCCCTCTGGATAGAGGGCGAGGTGGGTGGGGTCTGGTCACTCCGCTCAGCAGGCATCAGAGATTCAGGAACAACCCAGACGCCCTCCCGGGCCCTGCCGCCCCCTAGCTGTGTGCAGGGGCCGAACCCTGCGCCCGATTCCTCGCCTGGCAAGTGGGTGCTGGTGACACCCCTGCTGTGGTGAGGTGCAGGTGCTCGCCGCGCGGGGGGCAGGCAGGCGGTGAGGGATGGTGAGTGCTGGTACCCTCCATGTTCTTATTTTTAGCAACTGCCTCATGCGGGCACCGCTTCACATCACAAGGATTTCTCAGCCAGTGACTCACTGAATTCCTTCGCACCCCCACCCCACCCACGGGCCAGGGGCCAGGCGGCCGAGCCCCAGAAGCTCACAGATGGCCCACCTGCTGGGGGCAGATCAAAGACAGGGGCCCTCCCATCCAAGGGGGGTTTGTAGTCATTCTCCAAGCCCACAGGGGTGGGGGTGGGCGGGAGGCAGGGAATTGGGGGGCAGGTCCTCCTCCGGCAGCTTCCCTTTGCCCAGCACAGAGAACTCGGCCGCCCAGCGAGGGAGGTGATGTGCCAGCTTCATCCTCCAACCGTCCTCTGACCTGGGGGACCAGCGAACCCCCTTTCTGAGGAGGAAGCTGCCGGAGGAGGATGTGGGGACAGCGGTGGCCTCCACGTTGTTACGATGATGTTAATAGTGAAACTTCTCAACAGGTGCGACTCCCAGGCAGGGGGTCAGGTCTGACATGTGAAGCGCAGAGAGGACCTGTTCTCCTATACCCCGCCCTGCCCGCCGCCCCCGGGGGCTTGGAGAGTGACTACAAACCCCCTCAGGACACACCCGCGAGCAGGCGCCTCTGAGGTCCACTTTACAGGTGGGAAGGGGCAGTTCAGGGCTTGGGGGTAAGGTGAGAGCTGGGCCGGCGCTGGGGGCGAGCTCTGAGCGCCTGTAGGCGGCTGCAACCCTGGGCCATCTGCCTTCCCATCCATGGCTCCCCGGTCCCTGGTCCCCTTCTGCGGTCCCGGGGGCAGCAGGATCAGCAGGCGCGAGGCGGGGGTGGGGGGGTATGAGAGGGTGAAGCGGGGGTAGTATTTGCAGGGGGTGACCTGAGCCTTCAGCCAGCAGAGGGTTATTAATAGCCGCGCCTAAGTGCTGGCTCAGAGGGCGGCTCCGGGGGAGGGCGGGGAGGGCGGCGGGCGGGGCCGGGGCTGAGAGCCATCCGGTAGGCGGCTGCAGGGGCCCTCCCCGCCCCCTCGGAGCCAGCTGGGCCTGAGGATCTGCAGGGCTAGTTCATCACCTCGGAATACTCGCGTGACGGGAGGGACCTGGGCAGCACCGCCTCCAGCCGCAGCCGCTATAAATAAAAGGCTCCCAGCCCAGAAGCCAGGAGAAGTTTCTAGGCCTGTGTCCCAGGGTTTATTAAGCTCCTGGCTCCACTTTAGACCTTGGCGGCTCTGGCTTCGAGCCTGGACAGCCTGGGAGGACAGAGGCTGGCGGATCGCGGGTGAGGCGGTGCGGACAGGGCTCTCTGGGATTCTGCAGGACCAGCCCGAGGAGGCCTGTGGCGGCCGGAGAGTCTTTGGGGGTTGGGACCCCAGCCTGGTGCCTGCCTCCACCCTCCGCGGCGGATGGTCCAGCAGCTTTTGAAGCTGAAGAATTAGCTGGAAGGCTAGCCCACCACATCACCTTGCTGTGTGACCTTGGGCAGGTGGCTCCCTCTCTCTGAGCCTCTGTGTGTGCTCCAGCTCAGCATCCGCCATGGCTGATGGTCAGATGCCCTTCTCCTGCCACTACCCAAGCCGCCTGCGCCGGGACCCCTTCCGAGACTCGCCCCTCTCCTCGCGCCTGCTGGACGATGGCTTTGGCATGGACCCCTTCCCCGACGACCTGACTGCCCCCTGGCCCGACTGGGCGCTGCCTCGACTCTCCTCGGCCTGGCCCGGATCCCTGAGGCCGGGCACGGTGCCGCGGGTGCCGACGGCCACAGGCAGGTTTGGGGTACCCGCGGATGGCAGGAGCCCCCCGCCCTTCCCTGGAGAGCCCTGGAAAGTGTGTGTCAACGTGCACAGCTTCAAGCCAGAGGAGCTGATGGTAAAGACCAAGGACAGATACGTGGAGGTGTCTGGTAAGTGGGGATCAGGAGGGGGAGAGAGAAGGGGGTGGGGTGGGGGCTGCAGGTTGGAACAGCCCAGAGGACTTCTCCCAGGGGGCAGCTGTGAGGGCTGACGCAGGCGATCTCAGGGCTCAGGAATGTGGCCCCAAAAGTTACCCTTAGGGAGAGCTCCCCTCCTGGCCGCCAGGAAAGCTCAGCCTGACCGGCTGCCGTGGGGCCTTGGGGGCGCCGGCCTATCGTCAGAGCCCGCAGGGAGGTGGGAGCCGGGCGGAGAATTGCAGAGGAAGAAGTGACACAGACACAGAAGGAATCGAAGGACCCCAGATCACATCACAGCCTCGAAGGCGTGTTTCATGTGGAGTGTTAGCAACCAGCCTGGCTTCAAGGGCAACACTCCCTGGTCCCAGATAAGAACTGAGGCTGAATGGCCATTTTAAGGAGACCAATGGGTAACCCTGACCAGCTTCCTAGCTGCCAGACCCACCTGACGCTTCACCTGCAGCCTCTCAGCTAATGCGACCAGAGGGCAGGGGTCCCGTGGGCTCCCCTTCTTACAGACAAGGAAGCGGAGGCCCAGGGGGGCTCGGGGACCCCCACCCCAGCCCAAGGCCATCAGGGGTTCCGATCCAGGCTGCCTGGGAACAGGAGGCCAGAGTGAATCGGCCATCTAGGCACCTACTAGGGACGAAGGGCTGGGCTAAACCTCTTCTGTTCCTTCTCCCCAGCACGCCTCCCCCCAGCCCTGAGAGCAGAGGCCTCCAGGCCCCCTCGGCTGAGGCTGGGACCCGGGCGGGATGTGTCCAAGGTCACGCTGTGAGTCAGCAGCAGGAAGAGTCTGGGCCTGCCCACACTCCAGGAGAGGGGAACAGCTTTCTGTCGCTTCCCAGCAATTAAAGCTCCACTAACAGGAGCAGGTTCCCAGCAGGCTCTGCCGCCAGAAAAATCAATAAAAGCCTCGCAAACACGGCGGCGGGACGAGCCCTGGCAGGAAGGCGTCTGGGGGGGGAAGTTTCAAAGCCTGGCAGGTCAGAATGATAAACATCGGAGGTCTGGCAGGCGCGGCGGGCCAGGCGTCAGGCTGGGGCACGTGCTGACAGAGGGGGTCGGCCAGGGCTCTGGGCAGCCTCGGCCGGGAGGCTGGGCTCGCGTTCTGAAACAGGCTCCCCCACTGACCAGCAGGTTGTACAGATGACTTAGCTGCTCTCGGCTTTGTTTCCTAATCTGGAAATTGGGGTTCAAAGGGCTACAAGGGCATAAGGATGATTGTATTTAATGAGCTGATGTGTGAAACGTGTGGATATATAGCGCCTGAAACTGTTACTGAAGTGGATGTTGATAAAATGCCAGCCACCCAGGGAGGCCCTGATAAATCATAAATGGTAGATGGCCTCTGAGACCTGGGTTCCAACCCTGGCTGCGCTGGCCACGCTCTAGCCCAGGGGTGGGCAAACTTTTTGACTCGAGGGCCACAATGGGTTCTTAAACTGGACCGGAGGGCCGGAACAAAAGCATGGATGGAGTGTTTGCGTGAACTAATATAAATTCAAAGTAAACATCATTCCATAAAAGGGTACGTCTTTTTTTTTTTTAGTTTTATTCATTTCAAACGGGCGGATCCGGCCCGCGGGCCGTAGTTTCCCCACGGCTGGTCTAGATGGATGTGGGCAAGAAAGTCTTTTCACCGCTCTGAGCCTCCGTTTCCTCATCTGCGGAATGGGGATCCTAGTAATATCTATCCCATACGGCTGCAGGGAAGACTAAATATATGCAGACAAGATGTAAGACCTGCAGAGTGTCTGTAAAATGGAGCTAGTCAGGGCGCCCGCCTGGTGCCCTGGAGATGGGCATTTTTATGACCACTCTCTGTCTTTGTTTTAATTAAGGTTCCTGAGTTTTCCAACCCAGGTTGGAGGGTCCTGCGGCCCTTCCAGGAGACCTCTGCCCAGCCTCTCCGTCCTCTTTTCTAGGCGCTTCTTAACAAACGGGATCGGGCAGCTCCAAGCCGACATCCCAGCTAAGTCACTTACCGACCCAGAGGCTTTGAATGTGTCTCAGAGCCTCAGTTTCCACATCTATAAAATGGGGTCGCTGGGGAACACAAATAAGACAGAGACAGACAAAGCCTTTTTAGGCTGTAAAATTCTCACAGGTATGCACTTAGCCACCTTAGCTCGACAGAATCCAGGTCCCCTGAGAGGACACACTGAGTCTCTCCCGAAAGCAGTTTGAAAAATCAGATCAAAAGCAGAGGCTCCATCTAAAACGCAACTTTCAAGGGAAGTCAGACATGAAACCAGTCTCCCCTCCCGCATCTCACAGTGACAAACCTACTCCCCACGCACTCTGTGCTAAATACCTACATAGGTTGGCTCGCTGCTTCCTCATGTGGACTTCTAAGTGAACATGGGTAGGTTTGTTATACCCATTTTACAGATGAGGAAACTGAGGCCCAGAGAGAGGAATTCACCTGAGATCACCCACTTCTCCATGGCAATGTCTGAAATTCAAAGTCAGGCCAACCTAGCCAGTTTCCAGTTCCGATTGTGTGGCCCTGGGCAAATCCTCCCTGCCACCTCCGACCCTCGGGGTTACCATGGCTCTGTGAAGGGGGACTGGGTCAGTATCTGCCCAAGAGTGTTCTTTTAGCTGCCACTAGGCATCTGAGCCCTGAGTGGAGGAGGGGGTCCAGAATTCTAGAAGGTGCTGATTGAAACAACATGGTAACCGTCGTCTCTCTGTGGGCTTCGCGGAGCGCTGAGTTTGCTAATGTGGTTTATGGATCTCGGAGAGACGGCCTTGTCGTATCGGACACCTGTGAGTGTCCAGGTCCAGGGAAGTGTTTGGATGATGCTGGACTAGAAGATTCGCATCATGCCTCACACACTCTCACCCCCGCCCTGCAGCCACCAGCCAAGAACCGTTCCCTTCCTGGGCCACTGGGCCAGGCCCTGGCCAGGGGAAGGGACTGGAAAGTCCCCAAGACCATTTGCCTGGCCCTTCTCCTTAAGCCCAGGCTCCCGCCCGCCTGGTACCAGCCTGCTTTCTTTAGCTGGGCCAGTGGCTTTCCCCGAGGGCTGATGCCCGCATTTCTCCGAGGCTCCCAGGGGCCTTTCAGCTGCCCTGACTTCAGATGAGTTCTCTTTTCTTTCTTTAACCATAATAATTACTTTTTTATGTTTACAAAAATCAAATTATTCCCATGTAGAAAATAAACAGGAAAGCAAAATAAGAATGAAACATTACTCATCATCCTTCAACTGACCCTATTAGATATTCAAATGCTATGCAAATTAAGCTTTAAGACTCTGCTCTTTCCAACACCTTCTTTCAACCAGATGAACCCCACCCTAGGCCCCCCATATGGAAATCAGAGGCCCTCTCCTCCCTGACCCCCAAACCTTGTACTCAGAGCATGGACAGAGAGGGTTAGCTTCTGAGGGGCAATCCTGCCCCAAACATCGAAATAAACCACAAGCATTTACCTTCACACAGTATTTTTACAACTTACAAAGCGATCCTGTGACTCGCTGTCATTCACTCCTCAAAGTAACCCAACAATTAGGATGTTGCTGTCACCCCCGTTTTAGAGAACAATGCACTGAGGCCCCGAGAAAAGTAGATGTCGGAGCAGGGACTCCACCTGCCTTTGAACCCCTGCTCCTGCTCTTCCGAGCTGTGTGACCTTGGGCACGTCACTTAACCTCTCTGAGCTTCTGTCCCCGGGCCACAGACCTGCAAGAACAGGCTGGCGTGAAAATGAGAGGAGGGGTCATAGGCGAGGTGCTCAGAGCAGTGGCCGACACGAGCAAGAGCCATCCGAGTTTGCTCTTTTATTCTTAGCGCCGCCTCCTCCTTTATTATTCGCAGGACGCAGCGTGCAGAAGGCCTGAGTCAGAGGCGCTGGCCTGTCCCCAAGGGAGACAGGCCTCCGGAGGCCCAGCTCTGGGGAGGGGACCTTTGGCCACGTGCCGGGGTGAGAGCCGGGCGGCTGGTGGTCAGGGACTTGGCAGGGCAGAGCATCAGCACATTCACAGAACAGCAGCACTCCCGTTCAGCACCATTTCCTCTAAATGTGCCCCTTTCTGCCCAGCTGGGCGATGGAGCCGCACGGATCAAGCTTAGAAATTCTAGAACCCAGATCTCACCCGAAAGAAGCCCAAGAATATCAGTGCAGCGACATTCTTCCCATGTCAGGAACGGGCCGGTGCCCAAAAGCTGGGGACTGGCTGCCTGACCTTACCGATCCCCACGGGGACGCCGGGCAGCCGTTACAAATCGTGTCCAAGAACATCGGCCGTAACATGGAAAATAACTAGAGTGTGATCCCGTGTGATAAGCTATGTGACGCACAGCTATACCACATAACATCTATGCATTTCTAAGTACAGAAAGAAAAGTCTGGAACAGCTAACAAAATGCCAGTGGTTTTCTCAGGGCGATGGGGTTATGGGTGGTTTTATTTGATTTTTGCATTATTTTCTACACTTTCTAACTTACACATGCATTATCTTGTAATCTAGAAAAAGTAATTAAGAAAGGAGTAATGAATAAAAAAGCAATTAGTAATGTAGTTACCTATAAATGGCCGGTTTTTCAAAATCTGGGGCCACAGAAAAATAATACATCCCACCAGGTTATTCCGTCTAGATTCCCGAGCCCCTCAGAGACACCTGTCCCTGTGTATAGGAGGGCTCCTGGCCCTGGGCTGTGGCCCCACAAATGAGGGGGGGGATGGCTCTCCTGACACTAACTCCTTGTTTACAGAGAAATTGGAGACACTCTCTCCATCAAAAAAGTAAGAATGGGAAGGGCGACAAGGCTCAGAATTTTTTATATAAACTGCAAGGTGATAGGGCAGTTTGGGCCCAGGCCTCCTTGTCATTTCATCTTTTTCCTTCCTAAGGAAGGAAAAGAAAAGAAAACAGCCCCCTCCCCTGCACCCTGCAGGAGGGAAGGGGCAGTTCCCACCATGGAGCCTCCCCCTTCCGTAGGCAGGGCCCCTCTGGGAGTCGGGGGGTTGGTAGCAGATTGGAGCATTGCTGCCAGGGGCTCTCTCAGGGCCGGGCCCAGGAATATGACTCTGGGAGCTACTTGGAAGGTGGGACGGGCAGAGAGGATGGGACCCAGCACCTGGCTCAGACTCAGAGAGAGCTGGTTCAGAGCCCAGGGCGGGGCCTCAGTTTCCCACGGGTAACCCTGAGCAGCCCATCCTGGGGTGGGGGTGGGGGTGGGGGGGCCATGAGCTGTGAAGCCAGCGGGCGGCATCCGGGGTGTTAGCCCCAGGGCTCTCCTGGCTGCTGAGGGCGCGGTGCTGTCCAATGAGGGCTTGGAAGATACAGTGCCACACGGGCCCAGGCTGTGATTTCCTAAGACAACACGTAATTGTCTGCCAACTGCAGTCAGGGCCTCCTGTCCTGTCCATTGTCTTGCTTCATCTCCTCAGCAGCCTGGGAGGTGGGCTCAGGTGAGGGGCCGCAGGCTCAGACTGCTGGAGCCTCCAGTCTAGATCAAGCCCCGAGCCACACAACGAGGCGGGGCCAGGGTAGGGTTTGAACCTGAGCCTGGGCTCCCGTCAGCGGAAGCCCAAGGGACTCAGATCCTGACGCGAGGATTCCTCCCCCTCCAGGCAATCACGAAGAGAAGCAGCATGAGGGGGGCATTGTGTCCAAGAACTTCACCAAGAAAATCCAGTAAGTAACCTCGTGTGCGTTTCCGGTGGGCGTGCAGGGCGGGAGGGGCCTGGGACCCCAGTTCTGGGGTCTGTACCCTCTTGGGCATCTCTCCCGCGAGGCACCTCGCCCCCCGCCCTTCACCCTAAAGGGGAAAATGTCACAGCAAAGGAATCATGTGAGCAGAAGGCCACCTGCAGAGCCAATGAGTCCAAGCCACACCGAGGTCCCCCCCACACCCCGAAACACCTGTGGGAAGAAGAGGCCGTAGGTCCTAATGGACATGCCTGTTTCTGACGGCATCACGCCACCCGGTGTCCTGCTGGCCCCGGAGTCTCGCCATCCTGGCTGCCGTGAGCCGCTGGTTGCAGCTCAACGTGCAGAGGGCAGGAGAGACCTCACCCTCCCTGGTGGACGGAGAACTTGGGGGAAAGGTCCTTACAGTTAGAAATTAGAACAGCCCCAAGCTGGTCCCTCGTCCTAATGCCTTTTCCTCCCGGTAAGAAGGATGGAGGGTGACTCTAGCCCTGCGGCCTCCCCAGCTGAACATCAGAGGAGATGGGGGCCAGGCCCCGCAAGCAGTGGCCCCAGCCAGCGGCGCCGGCATTGCTGTCACCCTCGCTGCTATCAGCTCACTCCGCCCGCCCCGGAAAGACAGCACTAGCCGAATTCCTAGGCTTCTTTTGGATCCTGCAGTCCCGCCCCCCACGTGTCCTGGCCTGACCCCCCTGCAGTGCGGGTTCCTGGAAGCCGCGGGCACTTCCCCATAAGGCCACGGCCAACCGTGTCTCTGTGCTCACTGGCCTGCATGCCAGGACCCCTCCCCGCGGTCCAGCACCAGACCCAGCGTCGGGAGGGGAAAGGAGGGGGAGGGCGCTGATGCTTCTGTCAAGAGGTTCAAATGAGGTGCCCCCACGATGACAGACCGAGCTGAGCGTGACAGGGACGGAGGCAGAAAGAAGGCAGCGGGTTCATCATCTTACAAACATGGCCATTTTCGTGGATTTTGCCATCTCTGGGGCCTCAGGGGAAACAGCTCGCTGGGAGTTACTGAGCAGGTAGAACAGCCAAAGGCGGCCAGAGGCAGGGCAGCTGGTCAGCTGGGGCCCGGCAGCTGAGCGGGCTCCTGTGACAACACTGCACTGGCCACTGCCCTGAGCCCCCCACGTGCCCTCCCAACCAGCCAGCCATCCTGACCTGCCCGGAACCCTCCAGAGCTCCCCACATCCCAGAAACTAAAGGGTCCCCAGGACCCTCTCCCCTCACCATGGCCTGAATCCTCCCACTCTGATTGGTCAATGCCCAGCTGCCTGTGGTTAAATCTTCTCATCTCACCCAGGGGGGTGGGAGTCCAGGCTCCGCTAACCTGAGCTGCTGTTCCCCCGTTTCCCGCGGAGGCACCCTGATGGGGCAGGAGAGGATGTGTGCGAAGCACTTAGCACAGGGGATGGCCTCGGGGCTCCTCCTCGGGAACTGGCCTTATTAAAACCTCCAAACCAGGGCACCTGGTCCGAGCCCTTGACTGAGTCTCTTCCCACCGCGGGGCCTCAGCTTCCCCAGGTGGAAAATGAGAGCTTTGTCCTGGACCATCGTGAGGACTCTTCGGGGCTCTGACACTCTGCGGGTCAGCGATGCCGGGCTTTGTGCTGAAACACTCACAGCCGTCAGGGTGCCCGCGGCGCGGCCCACGGCTGCGCAGAAGCTAACCCTCAGCAGGCACGCCGGCGCACCAGGCACGGGTTCTCACGTCACCTGCAGAGGCTGGCACTTTCGTTACCCCTTTCCCTATAAGGAAATAGGCTCAGGGGGCGAGAGCACAGGCTCAAGGCCACACGATCAGGAAGAGTCAGAATTTGAATTCAGGGCCCTGACTAGGTTGCTCAGTGGGTTAGAGCATAGTCCCGATATGCCAAAGGTTTGATCTCCGGTCAGGGAACATACAAGAAGCACCAATGATGCATGAATAAGTGGACCAACATGTCTCTCTCCCTCTCCCTTCCCCTCTCTCTAAAATCAATACATTTAAAAAAGAGAGAATTTGCCACTCCCATTCTCCGGACCATAGCCACCTCTGCCACGGTGTCCGGTGCCCAGTGGGTTGGCATGCGAGCGGTTAAGCAAAGCGGACCCATCCCAGCAGCCATGGGAGGGCCACACGTCAGCAGCTCGGCTTGGCAGCCACCCCGTTCCCTCCTTCTCTTCCCTCCTTCCCACAGGCCCCGCTAATGCCCGCGGCCTCCGTTTGGCCGGCGTCTCCTGGGTAGACTTGGCGAAGGGGGTACGGGTTGCCCCTCCAGGAAGGGCCCTGCCCATGACCCGAACGGGCTGACCTCACTTCCGGGTTCTTTCATCAAGACCCGTGACTTTGCTTTTACAACAGGCAGAGCCAGCCGGGGCCAGGAGACCTCTATGGTGATCTAACCTTCTGTCCCCTCCCCCTCCCCTCCACCCATGGTCCCTTTTTTAAAAGCCGGGTGCCAGAGAGCTACTGTGAATTCAGAAACCAGGATTCCAACTCCATCCGCACCTGCCGCTCGCCGGCTGTGCGACCTTGGGCAAGTCACCTCCTCTGACCTTGACCACCCCACCTGTGCGTCAGGGACAGTAACAGAACTCGCTGGTGGGATCAGGGTTGACAATGAAGTGAGAGGACTTGGGTGAAGCACCTGGCACACAGGACGCCCAGGGGGCCCCATTTTTATTCTTCTTATTCATAAAGGCACCCCAAAGAGTCGCCACAGGTTCTCTGCATTCCAATGGCTTGTTGAAGAAACGGTGCCTGGGTAGCTCATTCACTGCAAACGAGCCCCAAATCATAAAAACAGCTTCAGAACTGGAACCGGATTGGGGTTCAGAAAGCCCGGCGTTGGGTTCAGAAAGCCTGTCATTTAATTCCCCCAAGTCTCTGTTAAAGGCTCTGTGCCACGGGCATGTCAACTCCCATTCACCGTTCAGGACCCATGTACAGCTCGGACCAGGTCATGCCTACACACGTGTTCAGGAAACAAAACACTTACCACCTACAGCAAACACCTAGGATGTACCCAATCACGGCTCATCCTAAACATACAGAGGACGCTGGCAACTGCATTCGAGCCAGCGCCCAGCCTGACCCACTCTGCCAAGCTGCCCTCCCACCATGAATTCCACCGCAGTGCACGTGGCAGGTGGCCGTGCGCCACCCGCTGCCAGACACACCTTACTGTGCTCTACGCGGGGAGGGGGTGGCGGCCATTTCGCCAACAGCTGGTGAATCGTGGGTGCTAAGTGAGACTTCAACCTTAATCAGACACGGGGGCCGCAGCTCCCTTGTAAGTTAGTTACTGTTGAGCAGCATTTACCACTTGCAAAGCACGTTCACATTCTTTGCAAAGAATCCTAAAGTCCCAAACCCGGTCCACGTTTAATACAGTGACCTCCATTTTGCAGAAGAGAGAACCAGCTCTGAGCAGCTGAGTGGCTTCCCAGGATCACAGCCAGAAAGGGGCAGAGCCAGGGTTCAGACCCAGCATACTCACCCCAAGCCCAAGCTCTTATCAAAACTATCTTCTTTGGGAGGAGCAGAGGAGCGTGTGGCCTGGATTAAAATAAACGACTAAAACCCTGTGCTCCCCCTAGGCTTCCTGCGGAGGTGGACCCCGCCACCGTGTTCGCCTCGCTCTCCCCGGAGGGCCTGCTGATCATCGAGGCTCCCCAGGTGCCCCCGTACTCGCCATCGGGAGAGAGCGGCTTCAGCAACCAGCTTCCTCAAGACGGCCAGGAGGTCACCTGCACTTGAGACCCCAGTCCTGGCCCATCCTTGTCACCCTCACCCCCACCCCCAGGGCTTCTCTGATTCCAGGGTACATTAGCCATCACTTCAGCTGAACTCATAGATTTAGTGCAACTAAAATGTTGGGGGTCAGGGTCATTTGACCAGTCCCTAGAGAGTGTAGTACTAGGTGTTTGCACCAGGGGGCGCGATTGGCAAGTCATGCTGGGTGGCGTTAGGCCAAAATGCTGGAAGTTTTTCTTTCTTTACTTTTTCTGTCTTGATAAAAATGTTGTACATTCAACAGTTGCACAGCATGCAGAAGGGGACATAGCATGTCACACGGTATCTCACCTTGCAACTGATGCCAGGGCTGCTTTTCTCTGGGGACCTCGCATCACCCAGATTCCTATTCTGGGCCCCGATGTCCGTGCCTGCCCCCTGGTTGGCTGATGGGGCCCATGAGCTCCCCGCACTGTGTTTCTGCAGCCCTGGCCTATCGCGGTGACGGCAGGGCTTCCTCCCCGAACGGGAATTACCCAACAGTCACAGGAAAACAGTAGTGCCTTCTGCCCTCCACCCAGCACCGGCCGCACGTTCCTGAGCTCGCAGTCCCCCAGGAGTCTGGAAGCCCCTCAGTTTACCCTCCAGCTAACGTCCCCCTTCCTTGTGTCTATGTCCTCGTCGGGATTTTTACAGAGGGGGCTGTCTCCAGGCAGCTCCGCCAGGAACCAAGCAAAGGCCAGACAGCGGCAGGCAGGATAGTGGTACTGTGTGTATGGGTGGGACGTGTGTGTCATTGTTATTTGAATTGTGCTGTTCTTTAGGGGAAAAATAACAGTAAATAATAATAAAGGAACTGGTGTTCTTAGCCCTGTGTGCTTCCTGTGATTGAGGAACTAAATGCTATATCACTTAGATTTTTAATATCAATTGGGAATGCTCGTGGCTGCAAATACTAACACCCAACACATAGTGGTTTAACGGGCATAAGCATCTATTATCTGACTTTACAACAAGTCTAGATAGGCGATTTCACAGTTATTTCTCCAGCTGTTATGCCACCAAAACCCCCAAGTACTTCCCTTTTTTTCCTCTGCCGTCTCTGACGAGTCTCCCCTCATGGCTGCAGGGTGGCGGCAGCAGCTCCGAGCATCCCCCCCCCACCACCCCCGCCCTGCCCAGGGCTTGTGTGGGAAGGGAAGGCGGGGCACAAGGCCTTCTCATCTGCACTCCCTTTGGCCAGTTCGAGAGCCTCTTCCAGGGGCTCTGGGGAGACTAGGTTCATCTCATTGACCCAAACTGGGGCGCGTTCACCCTGAAGCCCATCGCCGGCAGAAGGGAAAGGGGCGGCCACAGGGGCTCAGGTCCACACTGACTTGTCCTCGGAGGCTGGGAACACGGCTGGGAAGGAGGAGGGGGCACGGCAGCTGGGGGGGGAGTTGGCATTCAGGGACTGTCGCAGACCGAGGCTGCCGGACACAGACCACGTTCGGGTTCAGGAAACCAAGTCAAACTGAAGTCAATGACGTCAACAGACTTTCTCTCCATTCCTGGTGCTGCCTCCACTCCCAGGCTCCCTGTTGTCCCTGCCTCCCGGCTCCTCCCCTCCACGCCCCACGTCCTCCCACGTGGCCACAAGATGACTAGTCACTACGGCCACCTTCTTCCACATTCCAGTCCCGGGTGCGGGGCGGGTGGGGGGGGGGGGGGCGGGGAGCCAGTCTTTTCCCACAGCTTGGGTCACATTCCCTAGCGGCATTCTTATGGACCAGCTTGGGTGTCCCATGACCACCTTTGAGCCACAGCCCATGACATCAGTGCTTTGATTGGCCAGGCCTGGGGCACATGCTCCATCCCTGGAGGAAGCAGACACCGATTTTACAATGAAGCTGAGAGAGAAGAGGGGGTGAGGTGTTATAACGCACCCGCAAATCACAGAAGGACACCTCAAGAAGCCGAATTAAAGAGTCACATTTATTGCAATCCGGGACTGAGGGGGCCACGCACTGTGCCCTTCCCATGCCCACCACCAGATTTATAGGCAAAGATCACAAAGGTATTGATTACATCCCAGGGTTTGGAATGAGGAACCTGGTTCGCAAAAAAAGCAGTTTACAGAAGCAGAATTAAGCATGTTAGTTATAGTTTGGGTCTCCGGATCACTGAGTTGACAGGAACACATTATCTGGGACCACTGAGTTACCAGGAACAAATTATCTAGAGCCGTCGAGGCAACTTAGAGTAATTGCGCTGTCCTGGTTTTGGGGACCACTGAGTTGACAGGGAAACATTATCTGGAACCCTCAGGTCTTGGGATAATTGTGCTGTCCTGGTTCCCAGGTACAGAGGAATTCGCTTCCTAAAACCAGTAAGATCACAATCGATGGGATATTCACATTACAATCAATAAGGCATTCAATCGAATGGGATGATTTATACAAATCAGCAAATCAAAGTCACTTTTCTATTGTTAAACAAAGTAAGTAAGTACAGAAGCCAAACAGCAGGGTTAAAGTTAAACTAGAGTTTCTACCTGAGATGATTGCTGCCAGACTTCAGGGGGAGGCACGCGGTGGCCGCAGGACTGGAACCGAGATGTTTACTGTGGGACCTCGATGAGGAGCTGCTGGGCGCTGTGCAGAGCACCTCCAACCCCAGGCAGCAGGGTCATGGCTGCTTCCCCAGCACCTACTCTGCTAGGGCCTGTGCGAGGAGCCAAGGGTACAGGGACCTGGGGCTGCAATCCCCACGGCAAGGAGCTCACAGAGCAGAGACAGAGGGCACAGGAATGCCAGGCCTCTGGGAGCCGGGCTGTGTGCCCGCCGCCCCAGGGGCTCTGTGTGTAGCGGATGCAGTCGCCCTACAAGTCTGTGGGCAGGTTAACCCAATCTCTGTTCACGGATAAGGGGGCCGAGCCAAGGAAGGCCTATGTGTCTGGCCCTTCGTCGCAGGTCTGACCCCAGCACCTTCACTGTGAGCTGCCAATTGCCCTGCCTGCCCTGCTCCCAACAAAAGCAAAATAAAGTGTAAGTCCGTCCACCTGGGGGGAAGAGACGAGACGAAGCGGAAACCGGAAAAGTGGGCGTTCACGCTGCCCGTCGCTACCAGAGCCCATAAGCAGACAAGGATGGGATCACGGTGGGCACCTCACTCAGGGCCGGGAGCTGAGGCCGCGGGTTACGTGCCCTGAAGAGGCCCCTTACATCTCGCCCCAAGCCCACCCTTTTATACGGAGAAGAGAAGTGCAGCTCAGGGGCCTGGGATTCAGGAGGAAGCAGCGAGTCAGACAGAAGCTGCGGGGCTGGGACTTCCTGAGCCTCCAGCTCCCTCCCTGAAGCACAGGCTGCTACCCTGCTGGGTCCCTGTCCGTCCTCCCAGGGCAGGAGGTCGGAGTGCGGGCCGGGCCGGGCTCCTGGTCAGGGCGGGTCCGGTCACACATTCCAGCCCCGGGACAACAGTTTTTGACACCCAGCAGTTACCAAGCCTGTTAACTGGACATCTAAAGCTAAAAATGTTTACCTTCTTGCGTCCCCGTCATTATTTCCAGGTGGGGCTCTGCGGGGGGTGGGGCAGGGGCGGGATGGGTGCCGCCTGCCAGGAGGGAAGATCAGCAGGGCTGCAGGATTGAGCAAACAGACGGCAAGGAGGGGCCACACCGGCAGAAGAAAACAGGTGAACCCAGGCGAATGGCATGTCCCAGCTGAGATCCTGTTTCCATTGTCCACAGGATTGGGCGCAGGCCCCTCTGCTAGAGGGACAAGGCCCTATAGGTCTCAGGTTACCTCTCTCCACCGCCGCCCCCCCCCCACCTCACTTCCCCCTGTCAATCCAACCAGACAAGCCCTCTTTTGTTAGCAGAACTTTGATCTGTTCTCTTTCTCCACGCCTTACTTCTCGCCTCTTCACTGGTTAATTCCTTAGGTCTCTCAAGGTAAGAACATCTGACCTGCAGAGAATTCTTGTCAGTTTACTGGAGCCAAAACTGACGACCTACGCCCAGAGCAAGATCTCAAAAGATCCTGAAGCAAAGGAGGGAACGTAAGGAAGATGAGGGGAGGTGGGAGGAAGCAAGGTGGGGGTTGGACTGCAGGGCAGTAAACAAGATCACGCCTTTCTAGAAGGCGGTTTTGCTTACGTCAAACGTATGTTCCCTGAGACACAGAAAAACACGGACAGGGCTTGCTTAAGGCAAAGAAAAACCTTTTACTGAAAATGTCAGGTGCCTGGGGCGTGACCACCCAAGACCTGCCCAGCTAGGAATCTGCAATAAGATCACCCTGTGAAGTTTCTTTCCGTAAAACCCCTTTCGGCCCACAGGTCTCAGCTGGGCTCCTAACACACCGCACCCTGCCCAGCCTGGGTGTTGTTTACGGAACAAATCGCAGGCCTGGCTGGGAGCTCAGGTTAGAGATCGTCGCAGCACGCCAGGCTGGAACCTGGTCAGGGCACATACGGGAGCCGACCAACGATGCACCGACAAGCAGAACAACTGCTGTTCCCCTCTCTGCCTCTGTCTGTCTCTCTCTGTCTGTCTCTCTCTGTCTGTCTCTCTCTGCCTCTGTCTGTCTCTCTCTGTCTGTCTCTCTCTGCCTCTGTCTGTCTCTCTCTGTCTCTCTCTGTCTCTGTCTGTCTGTGGATGGAGAGGAGACGTCTCCATGGGCAGGAACCTGAAGGGAGAAGGGACCATGAGAATGCACCTCCTGAGACATCACTGCCCTCTTGGCCAGGGCCCTGGATGGAGGGTGCGACTTATTTAAATCTCTCCAGGGGGCGTGGCTTCACCAGACAACCGGACCGTTCCCCTGGGAGGCCACAGATCTCTCAAAGGCAGGGGCCACATCTTGTTGGTCTCCGCTGTATCTCTGATTCCTCACACACTCCCGGCACACAGAAGGCATTTTGCATTCACCGGCTGCATGGGTGAATGCTCGGAACAAGTGAAATCCAAACTCCTTCCCACCGCCTTCAAAGCCCCACGGGATCCGGCCCGTCACCTCCCAGTGCGGCTCCTGCTCTTGTCCCTCACACACCGTGCGCACTCACCCAGGGCCTCGGCGCTTTCCCTTCCTTCGGCCACGGGTGCTCCGCCAGCTCTCTGCCTAGCCACCTCCTCTCACCCCAATTTCCTCAGGCTTCTCCTCAGACTCCACCTCCCAGGGAGGCCTCCCCACAGGCGTCTCTGGTCACTGACTAATAACTACATCGCACGGTCGCATCGGCTCCAAAGCACTTTGCAGAACCGTGTCCATCCGGTTGCAAACACACGTGCATATTGCGATCCGAGCTGCCCCCGACACAGGGCACATCCACAGACACCCCAGAATGCCAACGCCGAGAGGGAAGGGCTTTCCTTCCTGTCTTGCCCACCACGGGGTCTTCCATGCTCAGTGCGATGTGCAATGCATCATGGAATAAACACGCACTGAATGGTTGGGTGAATGAATGAATGAATGAGTGAATGAATGAATGAGTGAATGGTGAGCGTGAGTCACCCTGGGAAATTAAGCCCAGGCATGATCTCAACCCCCAGAAACTCAGCTCATTGCAGCCTGGGGAGCTTCCAGCTTAAGGACACACGCTTTGTCATCAAAATAGATGACCTGACCCTTCCCAGGAGACCGTCAGTGAAATGACAGCGGGATATTTTCCCGGGCTCTCACTCACTCAGGCAGGATCCGGAACCTGCTCCCCACCCCACTCCCCTGACCAGCTCCCCGGAAAGTCTTATTTGCAGCCCACCCCACCTCCTCCCAACTGCCCGCCGGCCAGCGACCGCAGGTGGTGATATATGGAGATGACTTGATTTGACCTTGAAGGGAAGAAACAAATTAATGTGTCTCGAAATGAATTCCGGGAGTCGGTGGCTGGCTGCTCCTCCACCCCCTTCTCTTGGTGCCTCACGAGTTGTGCATCATAATGTGAAAATCAATCCTGCCTCTTCAATGAGGGGCAGCGGGTGGGGTTGCCGGGAAGTCCCCTCCCACCCCGCGTCCTGTCCAGGCCAGGGAGTCGGCAGAAGGGGTGCGGGGCTCAGGGCTGCTGTGGGCTCTGCTCTGCTTGCTGAGGGCTGGCTGAGTCGCCCCATCTGCAGGGAGGTCAACCCACTGACCGCAGCTGCAAGGCCTTCTGGGTGTGAGCAGGTGTGGGCTGGACGCTGGGGAAGGGAAGGGCGGTCACGTGGAACAGCCTTGCCAGGGCCATTCTCCAAGGATAACAGCTATGAGAGGAGACGCCAAGACCAGTCCTCCCAATTCAGCAATTCAGTGCATGTGCCGAGGGTCTGTGCAGGGCACTAATTGAACAGCCCATCCAGGTGTCCCAATAGTGAACTATCCGGTACCCCGAGGTGCCCCATGTCCTTGTTTGCCTTAAGCACGGCCTTTTAGTCTGATGCTTGACATGGGGGCCGTGCTGACGCTGGAGGGCCGGTCCCGCTCAGGCGTGGCTGAGCCCTAGGATAGTGACGGACTCCCCTGCGGGCACACTGTTCATATGAAAACCAGCCCGTCCAGACCCCGCACCCCAACCACATCTCTGTCTCCCTGTTGCACCTGGAGCCGCTCTCTCCGTGCCCTCGTCTTCCCGGTGCTCCAAAGCCCGTGGAGGTTGTTCAAATCAGCCAATGGGAACCCCGCTTGCCCTGCTCTCCTTTCCTTCCCACAGAAACCACAATCCAGGCTCTCCTCACACCCCCGTTCCCTGGGCCTCCTGCAGCCCTGGCTCTCCCGGTGGCCCCTTGGCACGGTGAGCCCCCTCGTGGGATCTGTGAGCGCCACAAGCTATCTTCTCCGTGGCAACCACCTCCTGATCTGTTGTCCTCACCATAACCGGGAAAAAAAATAAAGGCCTACATTTTAAAGCAGAGACACCTCCCTCGCCACCCCTCCCCAGCCCCTTTAAGCACCAGCAGCTGCCTTGGGACTAGCGGCCGGCCATTCCAAACAGTCAGGGCCCTCATCTGTCCCCTCCCTGCCTGCTGTGCGTCAGGTGCGGCACTGGGCCCTCGGAACAAGAAATGGTGGGTCACCGCCCTCACGGGTGCCACGGGGGCCGTGGGTAATGAGCGTGGGAGCAAAGAACATAGCAGGAGCCAGGGCGGCACACGTGGCTGGGAGGTCATGGAGCAGTGGGGCCACTAGGCGTCCACGTTCTGGTCCCAGCTCTGCGGCGCCCCACTGTGTGTGACCTCGCCACCTGACCTCTGCCAGCACCTATTTCCTCATCCACCAAGGTGGGTGCTGGCGATGCAGGGCTGAGGATCGAACACGTGCGTGGGAAGTGCTCAGATCACGGTGCCAACGCAGAGCAAGTCCACAGGAGTGGGGGCACGATGGCTCAGCCGGGCCCCACCTGAGGCTGAGCCAGCGGCCCCTGGGGTCCGTACCTGGAGCTGCCTCCCAGTTCTTGGTCTCCACCTGGGAGAAGCAGCATGGGAACGGGGCACTGAGGGGCCTTTGGTGTCCGTTGTCATAGGTCTAGAGGTAACCCTGACCCATGTCTCCATAACCCTCACGGCCAACGCCGCCCCTGCCCAAGAATGAAGGGCTCTTGTGACTCAGGAGAAACCTGCCAACACGACCTTGGGATCTGAAGCATATATATATATATCCTACCTAATAAAAGAGAAACATGCAAATTAACCATCACTCTGTCACTCCACCACACCCACCAGCCAATCAGAGTGACTATGCAAATTAACCCAACAAAGATGGTGGTTAATTTGCATACACAGGCATGGAGCGACGACTGAAGATGGTGGTGGCCACGGAGCTGGAGCGAGCAGGAGGCTTGGGTTGCTCCTGGCGATGGAGGAAGCCAAGGTTCCCGCCGGCCCTGGACTCTGCTCAAGGGGGAGCTGGAAAAAAAAGGAGGGAGCGGTGGAGCGGAGAACCAAGCCTTGCTGCTGCGGCCGGACCAAAGGCCTGGGTCCCGGGTGCCAGAGGAAAACCGGTGCCGGCAGCCAGGGGAAGGGGAGGCCTATTGTGCAAATCTTCATGCAACGGGCCACACACACACACACACACACACACACTAACATATTTTATATGTTTATTGATTTCAGAGAGGAAGGAGGAGGGAGCGAGAGATGGAAACATCAATGATGAGAGAGAATCATTGATCGCTGCTTCCTGCACGCCCCCCACTGGGGATCGAGCCCGCAACTTGGGCATGTGCCCTGACGGGGAATCGAATGGTAACCTCCAGGTTCATAGGTCGACACTCAACCACTGAGCCGCGCTGACTGGGCAGAATCACATATTTTTATGAGAGAGGAGGACGCCTTTAGCCCTCAGCAGTCAGCACAGCTCCTAGGACACAGCAAGCACTCAGAACATCAGCTCTGACCCCACCCTTGTGACTGTTGTTTATCCTGAAACCCGCGGGGAACACGGTGGAGGGAAAGGGCCAGACTAGCGGGCGGCAGACAGCAGCCTTTCCTCCCTGGAGGACTTGGAAATGCCCTGGGCGACGCTGCTTGGCCACACTCACACCCAACAGAGGTGCCCACACACCCAGCCCCAGCACCCCTCGCTGCTCGAGCAGAAGGAGGGTGTGGATGCCTTGCTCGTGCTCTGATTAGAATCCCCAGAGGGTTCTAGCCGGGCTCAGAAGCCGCAGGAGAATGGGGCGCAGGGATGGGGCTGCTCAGGAAGAGCCCAGAGGCGGCTTGGCCCCCGCCTGGCTGGGGTGGGAGCAGTTCCTGATGGCTTCTAGGAAGAAATGATGTCGAAACCCAGAGGGTATTAGTAATAATGACATTATTAAATATTTATTAGCTGCAAGGCGCTGTCTACGCTCTTCACATCCATTTTCCCATTTAATCTGAAGCCAAAAGGATCCAGAGATGCGCCCACGTTCCCATAGCTGGGAAGTGGCAGAGTCGCTGAGCCAGCTCCAGACCGGAGCAGACTGGTCCCACCCTGTGTGTGCTAATCAGACAGCAGGAGGGGTGGGAGGAGGGATCAGGAAGGAGTTCCTGGCAGACAGAGTAACTCATGGGTTCAGTAGATGGAGCTTTAAAAAGAAAAAACTTTAATCCTCATTCAGAGCCTTACTTTCTTCATCTGTAAAATGGGAATAATTCATCACCACACTGAGGGTGGCTGGGAAGACGAGCCAAAGTTTGTAAACTAACCGTGACTACTGCTTAGAAATTGTCACCATCCAGCAGCGAGGGCAGACGAAAGGAGAGGACCAGCTGTCTTGGAAACGTTGCCTAGTGAGCTGTTATCGGGGGTGATTTCAGTTTCCCTCCGCCTGTTGGTGTCCCCGTCAGCACTGCATGACAGACTGGCTTGTCCGGGTTCTGACAGTGGCAGCTTATAAAACCCACAGCCGACAGGACGACAGAGTTCCCTGCCAATAGCCGCCCGGGCACACACACGCCCTCACGTCCAAGCCAGCACGGACACGGCTGTCAGCGGACAGAGGAGGACAGAAGTGACAGACATTGAGCACCTCTGGGTGTGTCCAAGATTTCACGCTAGATCAGCCCTTCCTAACACACCTTCCATCGAAAGGAAGGGAGTGGGAGGGTCCTGCAGCCAAACGATCTCGGGACACGTTGGGTCAGACACGGATGTGCTGGGAACCGCCGGAGGAGCGCCCGGAGCAGCCCTCGCAGCACAATGGTAGCCTCGCGCCGGGCGGCTAGCGCTGAGTGCGTAACGTTTGAGATATTGACATATTTGGGATAGCGAGGAGCAGCTGCAATCGCCGTTTCTCAGGCTCAGGCATTTAGCAATGGCTCAGCTGGGCTGTGCTGGGTTGGGTGTCCCTTAGGTTCCGTGATGCTGTCAGCCAGAGATGCTCCCTCTGAAGGGCTGACCGGAGGCTCTGCTTCTGCCCTTGCTCTCGTGACTGTTGGCTGGAGGCCTCACTCCTCACCACGGGGGCCGCCCACGGGGCTGCTGGCGTGTCCTCATGACATGGCAGCCGGCTTCGCCCAGAGCATGTGACCCGAGAGAGAGCACCAGGCAGGGGCCCCCTATGTCTCCGGTGCTCTAGCCTTGGAAATGGCCCGACATCCTTCTGTGACATGCCATCCTCGCCACGGAGGAACCCAGGTGGGATGGAACTTATCCCGAGGCCAGGGAGGTGTGCCGGGAGCCGGTCCATCCTTGCTGTTTCAAGGGACCTGGCATATATGGCATGCTGTTCTTGGTATGTTTGCTCACCTTGGCGCTGTGTGTTTTGACCAGGGTCACCCCTCTGAGAAGGGTTGTTTCCCCAGGTAGGGATTTTCCCCTGAAGTTGGGGAGGGAGTGGAACCCCTTAGCTGGGTGCCGGGCGGGTGGTTGATCACTTTAACTACGAACAATCATGCTTGAGCTACATAGTCTTTGCTCCCTGGAATGGAGATGGGGGGCGCCCCAACCTTTGGAGTGGAGATTGATAGGATTGGAATCGACTGGTATAAGTGCAGATGTAACAAGACAACAGGACACAGAACCTAGACACAAAACCTACACAGAACCTAGAGACAGAAGAACTTCGCTGGAGAGAACATGGCAAAAGATCCTGGACAGAAACTGGCCACAGAACCTAGAGACAGAACCTAGCGAGAGAACCTGGCTACAGAACCTGGATAGAACACGGCAAAAGAGCCTGACTAGAACCTGGTGACTGAACCTGGCTGGAGAACCTGGACAGAACCTGGCTGGAGAGCCTAGCGAGGGAACATGGCTACAGAACCTGGCTGGAGAACCTAGCAAGAGAACATGGACACAGAACCTGGCTGGAGATCCTAACCAGAACTTCGCTGGAGATCCTGACCAGAACTTGGCTAGAAATCCTGGCTAGGCTGCTGATCAACTGAATGCTGTCTCCGTGTCATTCCTTCTTCGCCGACTCCGTCCACACCTTTGGGGACCCCTGGACCTGCTGGGATTGGACCCCAGCAGAGCTGGGTGTGAGGACTCCCACCTCGACACCCGTGGGCTCGGGTCTACCCTGGAATTGGGGAATATAAACCCATCAGCAAGCGCTTCGACCCGTGAGCGAAGCAGCTCAGGGGCCCCGGGCAGTCCTGCGAGGAGAGTCACAGGTGCAAACCCCTGGAAATAAGACGCTCAGAAGCCAGGAAGGCCACAGGGACCCGAGGGGCCCACGCAGTGTCAGCTGCCCCCGGAACCGTGGGCCACGGGAAGTGGCTCCGTGACGGGATCAGTGGACCAGTGAGGCCGCCCACTCATTCGAGGGAAACACAGGCAGCCGTGAACCTTCAGGCCCCCGAAGACCATGTTTTGTCATAGGAACAGCACACGGGAAAGCCGGCCTCACATCGTCAGTCTGTAGGACGCCCGTTTAAAGGAACCCAAATGTGCATTTAGGTTTTAGTTGCTTTAAGACGTCACTGTTTTTTTCCTTTGTGCATTTTTGGGTGTTTCAACGATTCTGCATGGAGACTGTGTGTGCCTTTAAGAAGAGAGAAGTCAAGCTAGTTGTTACATCTAAGAGTAGATGCTCATGGGGACACGCGATGGAGTCTATGACCGGGTGCAAATCGCAGTCCCCGCCAAAACACGGCATCCGTGTGGCTGTGCGGGGCCTGGCTGAGCACACGCACTGGAGCCTGGCTGCCCTGGTTTGAATTCTCCTCTGTCGTTTATTAGCTGCCTGACCCTGGGCACATTTCCTAACCTCTCTGGGCCTCGGGCTCCTTGGCAATAACACAGGGGTGATGTTATATCAGCCTTGCAGATTTGTGGTGAGGAATAAACAAGCTGAGATGTGTAAAATGCTTAGGGCAATTGCTGGCATATAGAAAGCACGTTGGCAGTGAAGACCGACCTTCCCCCACCCGCCCTCGTCCCTAATTAGACTGAAAGGCGAAGGTCCTGCTTTGTCCTTCCTCCTCTC